CATCTCCCTACGATGTGCCACCGCCTTTTCCATCAAGGTTAGTTAAAAAGGATAAAAAAGTTGAGGAAAAGGAAATATTAGACGTACTTCGGAAGGTAGAAGTTAACATACCTCTCCTCGAAGTTATCCGGAAAGTTCCAAGGTATTGTCGGTTTCTGAAGGATCTCTGTACGACTAAAAGGAAGCTTACCGGGGTCGAGAAAGTGGATTTAGGCGCGAACGTCTCAGCAGTTTTCCAACAACCGCTTCCACCGAAGTATAAAGACCGAGGTATGTTTTCAATACCTTGTAAAATTGGTGAGGTTAAAATCAAGCGAGCTATGTGCGATCTAGGTACCTCTATCAATGTAATGCCTCTCTCCGTCTATAATTTAATTTCCACCAAGCCTTTGAAGGAGACAAGAGTTACACTTCAGCTAGTCGACAAATCAATAATTTATCCTGAAGGACTCATAGAAAATGTTCTAGTGGAGGTAGAAAACTTAATTTTCCCTGCTGATTTTTATGTGATTGATATGGAAAATGATCGTAGCAACATTGGTTTTGAAATCCTCCTCGGTCATCCTTTTCTGAGCACGGCAAATGCAAAGATTGATGTTCGAAGCGGTATTCTTACTATGGAGTTCGAAGGTGAGATCTTAAAATTTGATGTCTATAAAGCAATGAGATATCCGGATAACGTTCATAGTATTAATTTTGTTGGCATTTTTGAACTTGTTGATGATGAATCTAACTTTGTTGACGATTTATGCAAGGAATCAGATGATAAAAAAGACGACATAAGGGAGTTGAAAAATATTTCAGTTGTTGATTCAAATTTGATCTCAACTCCTTTAAAAACTAAAGATTTACCTTCCTTTTTGCAGGCACCAAAAATTAAGTCGAAATCATCAAGGAGCCGTTTGAAGAAATCATTTTTTGGTAAAAAAGATGTTTTGACGGCCATTCTTCTGGACAAGTTTTTAAAATTGGGAAATATCCGAAGAAATCTTTGTGAGAATTTTCAAATTTCTCATAAGGAATTTCTTAGTTGGAAAAAGCGAATGAAGCGGAAGTGTTTGTCACGAAACCTGTAGTCTGAACCAGGTCGTCAACCTAATGACGTTAAATAAAGCGCTTCATGGGAGGCAACCCATTGTTTTCAATTCCGTTATATTTTTATTTTTTCTTTTATTTTTTTCCGATTAAGCATATTTTATTTAATTTTGCAGGAATTTCAAAATTAAACAACAAAGAATTGAGAGATTATCATCCGAACAATACCAAATTCTACCCATAGGAGCATGTAACGGTGCACGTTAGCACACTTCTAAGGAGACCGGTCGACAGTAAATCCGGGGAGTTCTCTGTTCTTTCTCTTGCACTTTAATTTTTTTCGTTTTGAGGCAAAACGCTTTAAGTGAGGGGTAGTAGAGTGTAGGATTGAATTTCATTTCGCTTATCTTTATGCTTTGAATCTAGTATGTGTTGGTTGAATTGGTCGGAAATTTCATTAATTATCTTTGTCTTGTTGAAATTTTTTGGAATGCTATGCTTGCTTGGGAACACATAATTGTTTAGGTTAGGATATTCTTGATAGCGAATAGCATGAATTGTGATAAGTTGGTATTTTTGTGATATTTTCATGACTTTGTTGGTTGAAATGTGATTAGCTCAATGCATGAAACAATTTGGTGAGATTTGAGCCTTTACGAGCATATCATTTTCGCTCTCATTTTGTTTGATTGAGTGTGTCGAATTTGGCATTGGTATTCTAGAACCTGCATGTTAAATACTGTCGAGATTACACATGAACATGATGCTTAAAAATGATTTGGGCACCTTAGGATTAACCATTCCGTTTCCCCACTAAATAGCCTACCCATGCATATTTTCCCTTAGTTAAACACTTTTGAGCCTATTCCCGCTTCTTTGTTTTCACCATATTCATAAACCCGAGCCTTTTTATTTTATCCCTCTTTTCTACCTTTTCAGGGCAAGTGAATAATTTTTACCATTGTATTCTCCATCGAAAAAATGTTGAATGAAAAAAAAAACAAAAAAAACAAAAAGCAGCTGTTCGAAAAAATAGAGACTGTTCGAAAGAAAAAAAGAACACAAAAAAATACGTGAAAAAAAATGCAAGACAAAACAACAAAATTGTGAAAAAATGCATTTCGATAAGAAATTTGTTGTTTGATATTTTGTTTTTTTTTATCTTGTTGTGCTTAATGTTTTGATGGAGTTGAGATTATTATTTGTTAGTTCCTTGCCTTGAACATTTAGCCTTATGTTTAGCCTTTTCTCCACCTTTACCTAAGCCCCGTTACAACCAATAAAAGACCCTTTGATTTATGCATCTTGTTCTTATTAGTAGTGGAGATTTGATTTACTTACAGGCTTATGGTAATACTGTGTAAATTCTGACATTGAGCGTTTCTTTACCACAAACACATGGAGTGATTTGAGTGAATCCCGGTAAGGTATTGAGTTATGAGCATTGAAATTAATGAATGAATGGATATTACAATTTCACTTGACTTGTTCTAATTGGTGATGTTCAATTGATTGATTTCTTGACTTCAATAGTTATTGTGGTCTCTACCTTGCTTCCCTAAATGTGAAACTTGAGAAAGAACGTTTAATGAAGTTTTTGACTGATTTGGTTAATCATACTTGAGGACAAGCATGAGATAAGTGAGGGGGAATTTGATGAGTGTTCAGAATAGTTAATATTTGCTCGTTATTTCTTCGGTTTTATGGATTTATTGCTGTTGATTTGGTCGTGTTGTGCTTGTTTTCGTACAGGTCATTGTTTTCCATAATTTGTGACAAAACGGGCGAATTCTGCATTTTTTTTATTATTTGGTCACGGCTGGAGACATGGGCACGACTCTGGGCACGACGCGGTATGACGTGACAGTTTCTAGAAGGTCCAGTCAGCGGCGGTTTCTAGAAGACTTCTTCCGCACACCTTCTGGAAGATTGACGAGTAGAGATGCATTAGGAGACTAGTTTAAGTTTGAATTTAAATTTAAAAATAATTATCTTTTGTATTATTTTATTATTTTCTTTGCTTATCCTTTAGGCTTTGAGAGGCTATAAATACCCACTTGGGGTAAGCCTAAAATCATCATTCAGAATACATTCTTCTTTTCTCTCTAGTTTTTATAAAAGTTTTCTCTTTTTCTTTTCAAGTTCTTTTTTATTTTTCTTTATTTTCAAGTTTTATTTTTATGCTAAGTATGACTTTTGCCATGCTTAGCTAAACTTTTCATAAGCCGAGAGCTGTCGCGATGATTCAATTCCAACGGGAGAATTGAAACGGTCCCTTAATATCTTCGGAATCTCTCTCTCAATCTCTGCGCTTATTTTTCAAAATCAAAACAGTTTTCAAAATCGAAGATTGACTTTGGTCAAGAAGTTGTTGCGATTAAACGTGTGGGAGGAAGATTCGGCTTATAGAAAGCAATTCGACTTCCTGGGAACACACTTGGCGAGATAGCTTCGCCAATAGGGAATTGAGATCGGAATTGACGGTTATAGAAACAACAATCCGAGTCGGTCGCCATGAACTTAAACGGTATTTGATCTACGACAATAGATGTTGTTAGAATTAACTACCGAAGCCGGAATCAAAGATTGCCTTGGGTATTCGGTATACAAGATAGAGTCACAAGGATATCCCTTGTAGACAAAGTAACCGACGTGAATCCCGAAGAGAAAATCTTATTCGATGATATAAAGGAAATTGAATCAAAGCGAAGCTTGAGGCTACCCTTTTACCGTATTTATTCACAATCTTCATCTTCTTATTTTTACTTTAATTACTTTTATTTAATCACTTTATTATCTTTTACTAAAATCCCCCCATTTTTACTGTTTCACGCCTGGCATAAATAATTCAGACAGAAATTTATAATTTTCTAAGTCCCTGTGGAATCGACCCTTACTTCTCTTTGCTACGCATTTCCTTAATTTATTGATTGAGAATAAGGAATTATTTTGACATCCGAAACGACAGTTGTCAATAGAACAATCAAAATTATTGTAATCAAGAACTTATTAAGTGACCTTAATGATAAATGGATGTGTTAATATTTCTAGAAATCTCGAGTTTAAACAGTTGTATCTGTAATGTGCGCGCGTTAGTTACGGTAATAAAGAATGAAATTGCAGAAGGATAATTATATCAGTGCGTCTGCTACAATAATTAGAAAACCCCAGCAGGTTTCCTCTGAGTGCAATGAGACGTGTTTTCTCTGGAAGGAGAAAGGAAGGGGCGAAAGATTCCAAAAAGAAACAAAACTCAACCCCAAATTAAATATGAAGATAGGAACCTCTTCATTAGAGTATTAAATAATCACACTGAGAAAGAGATCTACAAACAATCAATCACCCCAAATTGCTTAACTATGGTTTGTCAACTTCTAAAACTATGCAACGAAATCTTTAATGTCCTTTCAAAGAGTATGTCCCCTTTGATAGGGTTAGTTTAGAGCAGTGTAGGGTATAATAAATTAACATATGATCAAATTTGCAAAGAAAATCTCAGCTACTGCACAACTGTATAATTTAATAGTTGGCTTAACTAGTAAATTTGGCCTGGAATAATATTACAATTTTCGTTTTGGTTACTATTTTTTCTTCTTCAAAAGTCGCCTTTAAATTTTCATTTTGTAATAGTTGTTGGCCCGTCACTGAGTTGAAAAAACAATAATCCTTCAGTTAATTAATGAGTGATACATAAAAGAATAAATTTAAAGTTTGACAAGTTTCGATTATAATGCTCTAATTCTTTCTTAATTTGAGTTTTACACTAAATTTATCGTTATTATTTCTTCAACCTTAATCTGATATTAGATTTTATTTTTTTTTAAAATCACACAATCACGATTTCTTTTTCCAAAGTTGAAAAAAATGAATTAGTATTTGATTCGGTAATAAATAAGGACGATATTGACAGAAAAATTTACTAATATATATCTACTATTAGAGAAGAGGGGGAAAAATATTAACAGAGCACCTGATAAAAACGTCTTTTCCCCCAGCAAAACTACATGATTTAGTACCATAAATTCATCAGTTATGGGTGTTGAAGTAATCACAGAAGAACTAAAACACATACCTAGATTATTACAAAGTAAATCAACACAAATTAACGCGAGATAGATTCTCATCCACGAAGCTCACCAGTACTTCCCCCTACCAATATCGAAGCACAGAGTGGAAGTTGGCAACCCAATGGCTGCACCATGTTCCTCATCTGGGCTCGAAAATAGGCTCCTTTTCTGATCTTTTCTCGGTCTCATCGCTACAAACATTGGTGAAGAAAAAGGTGACGAAGGCAAAAGATTGCTGGTTTTCTTCAAACTGATCATCTTCGGGAACAATGCTTGCAAAAGACTAGATCTTGAGCGCTTATTCTTGATGGGTTTTGTGCCGGACTTGGAGTAGAAAGATGGAGGAGGAGTTAGAGGAGGGATGGATGTATCGGAGAATGTGTATTTGGGAGTACCGGGCTGAGACTCCCACATGAAAGGGACGGCACCGGAGAGACCGCCATAGTAGACCCTGAAAGAAGGATTGGTGACAGAGGTTTCCTTGGATAAAAGCCTGGAAAAGAACTTGTCGTCTTGCTTAATTTCCAGGGTCTTGTTGTGGGGCAGATGATCCAGGCTTGTGTTCAACATCTTCGGATGTGTTTTTGGAGTTTCGGTTATCAAAGGGCTAAGGAGATCATTTGAAGGAAGAGAAATCTAGAGCCACAGAGGAAAAAGTTTTGGGCTTCTTCTCTGTATACTTTTGGGGGTAATATAATATTAGAGCAGCAAGACCATCACCAAAAATTTAACTGACATTTACACTGGTATATGCATATGATACAAATATATATTAAATTCTAAAATAATTGTTTAAAATCAAATATTGATAATCAAGTTAGATTAAATATTACTTAAACGTCAATTCTCTGATGAAATTTATATTAAAGGAGAGATTGTTACGTATGCACAAGTTTAATTGATAATTATGTTAGATTTTGATGTGATTATTGTAATTTAAGATTATTTAATAATTAAGTATATATTATGTAAAAATTATTTTGGAACAAAGACCGTTAACATTCAAATATTTGATTATGTAAATATAGAATATGTCTTAAATTTTAGAATTTTGATATAAATTATAAGAGAGATTCAATTTTAAGTTAAATTTATGATACTTTATAACTTGTATTTGATTCGAGATTATGTTCATGAGAAAATAAGTTTTAAATCAAATGTATTCATGTATAACCTGAAGTTATCTTTATATTAATCATTTCCTAACAATGGTGTTTTTTCTTTCTTTCTGTTTGTACATTACAAATATCGATATTAGGACTTGATTTAAAGAAAATATATGAAGCGAATATTGAATGGTTTGTGTCATTCCACCCATTGATGAAGGAGGTTAAATGGAGCGATGTGGATATGAAAAGCCAGCATCATTGACGCTTATCAAATGGCTTTTGATTCATTAGCATTAGTATGAATAATGTCCCTTGCTGCATTCGGGGTCATGTTGACAAGAGCTCCTCCACTAGCAACATCAACCATCTTCATCTTTAAGGGAAGCAACCCTTCGTAGAAGTATTGAATAAGCTTTTTCTTGGTTAATCCGTATTGCGAAAAACTTGCACAAAGCTTTTTAAATCGCTCACAGTACTCGTAAAGCGACTCTCCATCTTTTTGTTTAATTCACAGGATATTTCTTCTCAATTCGCTTGTCTTTGCTGCTGGAAAAAATATGTCAAGAAAAGTTTGAGTTAAATCAACTCTTGTATTGACAAATTCAGAGGAAAGTAAAATAATCACTCTTTAGCTAAACTAGACAAAGAAAAAGGGAAATCATGTAATTTAATTTGGTCTTCAGATACTCTATGTGGTTTCATGCTTAAACAAACTATACAGAACTCTGTGAGATGCTTGTGCGGATTTTCACTGAGAACTCCGTGGAATGTACGAAGAAGATGAATAAGCCTTGTTTTAAGCTAAAACGGAGTTTCGCCTTGAGGGAAGGCAATGCAAAGAGGTTGTTGAACGATAGGTGCAGCGGTCAACTCCTGAATGGTGTGATCTGCTATTGGAATGGGTTCTTTGCGCCTGAACGGTGTAATTTGGTTCGAATTGTTGTTGTTTCCTTTTTTTCTCAAAGTGTTAGTCCACATATTCTCCGGGCTAGTGCTTCGATCTTAGGCTCAAAATCTACTAATTCACTCGAGTTCTGTCTATTTATAAATAAAAAACAAACTAATCAGTAACTTTTTTCGAAGTCCCTGGCAACGACGTCAGTTTGACACGAATCGTTTTGCTGTCATATAAATTCCTTAATCTCAAAATAAATAAAATAAAGTAGTAATAATGAGAGAGAAAAAAGGTCGACCCACAATGACTTTGAAAGTTGGTGATGTAGTTATTCTTAAGCTTGATCTGGGCAAAATTTAAAGATAAAAATGGAGGGAGTGAAATATTATAAAGAAAATAAAATTAAATCTAAAGAAAATAAATAAAGTAGTAGAGATAAAACTTATGTAGTAAAATCAGCCTCAGGCTTCCACTTTGCCTCAAATTCCATCGATCATTGAATAATATTTTTCACTTCAGATTCATGTTAGTTACAGTCTACATGGCCCAACCCCTGTAACTTATTTTTTTCTCTACGATAAACCAACAATTCAAAATCAATCTTTGAATTTCAATCTTTTTGTAGACTAACTGCGACAATCATTGCTAGCGCCAACTTAATTAAAAGATTTGGAAAACCCGACTCGGACTATAGCGTCTCGATGAGAATCGAATTTGATCTCAATTTCCCTTAACGGACCACTCCTAAGTGTTTTCATAGAAAGTCGAATGTGCTACAAGTCGATCCTTCCTCCCAATTGTTAATCGAAACCACAATCAAATCAATGTCCACTTTTTGAAATGAAAATGTTTTTTATTTTAAAAGGATGGTCGATTGTCAATTCTTGATTCCAAAAAATTGAGAATGTAACCTGAAGGGTATTAGATTCTTTTCAATTCTCACGATCGAAATTGAGTCATCGCTTTAGCATTTGGCTATGAAAAACTTAGCTAAGCATGATATAAATCATTCTTAGCATTTCAAAAAAAAACTTAAAGAAAAAATTGAAAAATAAAAGAAAGTGAAATAAAAGAAAAGAAGAATCTTATAAAACTAAAGAAAGAAATAAACAAACTAATCTGAGATATTTTTTCAGATTTACCCGGATGAGGTATTTATAGTCCTCTAAAAACCCTAAAAATGTAGCAAAAATTATAATAGATAATCCTTGGAAATTTTTTGAATTAAATCCTAAAAATAAAGATAATTCCTAATTTGAAATTCAAATTTGTGGCTGAGTCTTCCGTCCTCATGAAACTGCTGACTGGACCTTCTAGAAGCTACTGATTGGATGCCACGTCAGACACAGTCATGCCCTAAGTCATGCCCACTAAGCTGACATTCATTCCAGAAAATAAAAAAATTGTAGAATCGCACCATTTAAGCGTCGTTTTTAGAATCCAACATCTTACATAGAAAACAAGTGAAAATGCTCGAATTAGCAACAAAAACCGATAGAATCAAGGAGTAATTAACAATAAAATAGTAACTATTTAAAGCACTTATCAATTAAAGTCTACAAGGCCCAACCCTTGTAACTTACTTTTCTATATAGTAAACTGATATTCCCAACTCTATCTCCGAAATTTAGTCTTTGTTGGACTAACCATGGCTATCTCCGTTAGCACCAATACAACTTTAAGCACTGGAGAAGCCCAACTCTCTCAATGAGAATCGAACCCGATCTCAATTTACCTTAGCGGATTGCCACTAAGTTTATTCATAGGAAGTCGAATTACAACCAACTAATTATTCCTCCCAACAGTAAATCAAAACAACATCCAAATCAACGTCGACTTTTTAAAATGAAAGTGTAAACATTTTAAAGAAAAGGTCGATTGTCAAATCAAGATTTCAGAAAATAAAAAATGTTATCTGAAAATGTTAAATGTTTTTTAATTCTCACAATCGAAATTGATTTGTCGCTAAGCCTTTGGGCCCTTTGGCTAATTGAAATTCAGATTGAAATCATACTTAGCATTTTTTTTTAAAAGAAAGTAAAAACTAAAATAAAAAGAAAATTAAAAGGAAAATAAAACTTTTATAAAAATAACCCTAAAAAAATCAAATTAAATACATCTTTCAAGCTTCACCTTAAGAGAACATTTATAGCCTAAAGAATCAAAAGAGATGAACTTCCTGAAGAAAATATTCAAAATAGAATACCCTAATAACAATTCAAAAGATTTATCCAAAATATTTATCTTAAAAATTCAAACTTAGAATCCTAAAATAATTTTTCCCGTCCTCCTTCTAGAAAATGCGGACTGTACTTTCTAGAAACTACAACTGCTGACTGGGTCGTCAGATTCTACCACGTCAGACCGCGTCATGCCCCAAATCGTGTCCATGTCTTCAACCACAATTCCATAAATAAAAAAATGCAAAATGCGTCCTATTTGTTGCTAGTCCTGAAAAATAAGTTCCTGCATAAAAATAAGCAAAACAAATCCAAATCAGTAACATCGAATAAACAATTAGGAATAATTATCAACAAATATATATAAATCTAATCACTCATGTGATATGCACTTATTTTTAACAAAAGATTATTTAGACATTAAAACGTTTTTCGAGACATAATTTAGACATTTATTTTTTGTATTAAACCTTGATATTACCTTCTGTTGTAGTTTATTAACTTTCGAGATCAATTTTTTAACTTTAATTATACTTATTTTAAATAATTAAATTTTGGGTTGATTTGTTGAGTCTCTCGAGTATTAAAAGTTACGAAATGATTACTCTATTATTTATTATGTTCTAAATTCATTCTTTTCCGTTAATAATTGATAACATTCTGAGCTAGATGTTAATATGTTATCTGGGATACGATAAAATATAATCTCAGAATCTCAAACGACTATAATATTTCAAACAATAGATTAACATCTAACTCAGACGGTTAATTTTTTAACGGAAAATGATGATTTTGAAACATAATAAATAGTCAGATGATCATCTTATAACTTTTAATAGTCAGTTGACTCAACAAAACAACTTCCTATAATTATAAGATCATTTTATAATTTTGATAGTCGATGAGTCAACAAAACATTATCAAATAATTAGAGACCATTAGTATACTTTGTCCTTGAATTCTATAAAATACTTATTTAAAAATCATTTCATTGGAAGTTTTAAAAAATTAGAATTTTTTATTTAAATAATAAAAATGTAAAATTAAAAAATTGATTACCATAATATGACCCTGAAAATTACGCACTTCTATACTAAAGATTCCCTTTAGAAAGCTGATTAAGGACGAACCAGACAAGTGTTATATTTAAAATTTTATTTGAGTTTATTCTATAAAAAATCGATAATTAATATGTATGTGATCATTTTTAAAAATATTTTTAAATTTACTACTGAATTTATGAGGTAAGTGGGAGCTTGATATTTATATATATAACAAAATTAAAGGTTAATTTTTATGTATTCAGATTTCATACTCAACAAAATATCGTGTTAGTTAGAAGCTAGTCATACACGAAACGAAATGTAGACAAAGACAAAATGAACCATTAATTGACATAAACGCGGTCGTTTAACCTGGACAGAGTGTTTGTGTCCGCAGAGGAGCAAAACCTAATGAAATTGTAGATGAGTGTAAAAAGGGCAGCGCCAACTATTGCCCAATAATAATACCATCTTTCTCTTCCGCTGACTGTTCTTGTAAAACTATTGTCTTCCATCCATTTTGTTTCTGTTTTCATACATCTATCTTCTTCTTTTTCATATTATTTTCTTCCCAATTTTATGCAAAATCTTTGATGGAGTTTTCTTAAATTATTACTTCTTTGTCCAAATCTCTGGTTTCTCTTTCATCTTACATGTTTCTGTTCATCATGTCATGTTTTTAGTTTTAAGCATTTAAAGACTCAAAAGTATATTAATTTGTTATGAGTTATAAGTTTTGGGTTTTGGAAGAATTTGATTTTGAATGTTTCTGCTATTATGCTTAGCTTGTGATTCAATAACTACTAGTCTCCTGGTATCCGAGTTGTAACAATCCTTGTCAGAGCCTCAGAGGGATAACTGACAAGAGAGACTGGAGATATAACTGGTAATTAAGGGCAGGGATTTAAATTGTGATGTAGGCTACGTTTTCCGTTTTGTTAGGTTTATTTCCGTTACAGGCATAACATATATTATTACCGTTATTGCGGGTATCATGATCATGATCTTTTAAAATTCACACAACTTATTCTAAAATATGATAGTTTTAATTGCCGCAAGAGACTCTTAGATATTTTTAGTTTTATCGTAACAGAACAATAACCTGAATAACAGACCACTATTGCTGGTATTGACCGTTATGCATTAAATTGCAGCCGCCATCCAATAACTTATTCCAGGCACTATGGGTGTGAGATTTGGGATCTTATTCCTCTTTGTGTTGGGTGCTAGCTGCGCACGTGATGCTAGACAACTCGAAGCCGCTCCACTGGTAGCCTCTGATGAATAGGGTAATTCCTTTAAGAGTTCCGGTAATCTTCGTTGATGTTACCGTGATACCGTCTCTCCACGGTTTGAGTTTTTTGCTGTGGGGGCTCTTATTTGTTACTGATTAGTAATCCATATTCAGATGTTGTTACTGCCTAATAATGGTTGAACTGAATCTATTGATGAATATTTTCTAAGGTCCCTTAAATTTCTTGCTTGTGATAGTTTTGCACATGCATACCTTTCTCAATTCAGAACTTGAATATTGTTAACTTTTATAATAGAGATTATTCAATGAAAGTGTGAAAATAATCAACAAAATCACACAGAATTCTTGGTGCAGTTGTGCAGATAAACCAGGGTCGAGATGAGGAAATAGTAGTAAACATTGTTCGGAATGACAACGTGTGCACATTGTGTGAGGAGTATGCTACTGAAGGTATAGATTTCCTTTCACGAAACAAGACCCAGACCAAGATAGTTAAGCTGCTTCACAATAGCTGCTCCCGTATACCGTCTTTCGAGCAGCAGGTAGTTATCTAGCTTTACTTAAATGGTGGTGTTCCACTTGATATTTTGTGTATATTTTTCAAAAAGTGTTCCTTAATGCCCTTTTTCTTAAGTGCAAAGATACTAAATGGCCATCTGATCTGTTTTGCGTAGTGCATTACACTGGTGGACTACTATGTTTCTCTCTTCTTCGTGGAGATCTCTTCGATACGGCCCGGAGTTGTCTGTCAAAGGGTCAAACTATGTCAGAAAGTTGCACTTATCTCTTCACAAATCCGTGAAAATAGCTGCGGAGTATGCCACCGTGCTGTTTCAGAAGTTTTAACGAAATTAAAAGATCCTGATACGCAGGTTTGTATTAGTCCATTTCTTTTTAAACTACAGGGTCGATCTTTTGAATGTGCTAAAACGTGAGCTGCATAGTTGACATATAATGTATGTGGTATCGATTTGTTAGTGGGAGGTGGAAATGTTGAAATATTGTGGATTTGTTACTTGTGTATGTACCTTTTGCAATAAAACAGACATCAATGTTGCTAATTCGATACACATTTTCTGCATTTGTTCCAGCTGGAGATAATCGAGATCCTTTTGAAGGCTTGCAATTCAGTGCAGAACTACGTGAAAAAGGTTGGTGTCGTCTTTTGAAGAACTTACCGGTGCTTTAACTGCAAGTCTTATATGCGTTTTCTGATATCATGTGTTCTTGACAGTGTAAGAAGATGGTTTTCGAGTACGGACCTCTGATCCTTGTGAATGCAGAGCATTTTCTGGAAACGACCGATATTTGCACCATACTGCATGCATGTAATGGTGCAAAGCAAGCATTTGTGGCAGATTCATAAATGTTGCCTCAAACCAAAGGAATACGTGGCTTGTAAGATAGTGTACATGGTATAATAGGTTTTACTCATGCAACTGTGCATGTACAAGTAGAATAACATTGAAATGTTCATAAGATATGTACCGCACAAATTTGGTTGCTTCTCAAAGTTGAAATCCGAATTGTACATGGCATTCTCAAACAATGAAATCCTTATAATAAAGAGGAGTCGTTGCAGGTTCAAGGGGCTTAGGATATTGACGAGGACTAATGACTATATATGTTTGGTTGGGAGTTTTTTTAGGGATCTCCATGGTTCCTTAATAATCATTTACTGGTTTTTCAGTAGTTGATGCTATCTGAGGATCTCCTTGTTCTAATGTTTTTTTCTTCCCCAAGTTTTGAAAGTTTTTTTGTCAGGCTTTGTGTTCTTGATGTTTTTCAATTTTTTTGGTTTGTCATCCATCTCTGAAGGTCTCATAAAACAAAATATAAAATTATTTTCTTCTCAACAGGATTTACTAAATCAAAACGGTGGATTAGATTTTCTGATTATTTGATAAATCATTTGTCCCATTCGTTTGAAGATCATTGTTCGATGTTAACTAGTGGTCAGTGTAACTTTATGTGGCAACCACGAAGTCAACAATTAAGATTTGATGCCAATTGGTTGTTGGAGGGGCGATTCGAAGATGAGATTAATGAGTGTTTGAAGACATCAATTGATAGTGTTTCGGATGGATTATTCATTCCATCTCGGGAAAAATACAAGAACAGCCTAATCCTGAATGAACTAAACTTGCTTTGAAGCTTGCAATTGAATTGAAATTAAAGATGGAATCCGGGCGTCAGTCCGATTTATCGGAGAATCTAGCAAAACATAAGTAATTTTCTGTTTTGTTTTCCTTGTCTTGTATGTAATACATGTATGTACTACAACCGCTGGTTGTAAGATTCACAGCAAAGACTTTACAAATGAATAATGATCCATTTAATTTTTATATACCAAATCGGAAAGTTTTGGCCACAACTTACCATTCCATATTCCAACGCTTGCGCCGGCGTTAAAATCCCGGCGCCCCACCTCCACCACCACCAAGTTTCCCGTTAACTCATAATGTCGACGGCGAGAATAAAATTACCATTATGCTCTTCCAACAGTATCCCATTCTCCCTTCTCTTCTTCACCTTCACGTTCTCCGTTCTTCTCACCTCTTCATCGATTCTCTCTATGATTTTCTCCGGTTTCTGCTCCGATATAAACCGCTCTCTCCGGACTGAAGGCTCAGCCTCGTCAAACAAACCGGAGAGATCGAAACCGGATGAAAATGAGATTATATCGAAGGCGTTTAAGCACTTCTTGCCCTGAGTTTCTTCTTTGAGAACAAAATCTTCATCATGGAATTTGATTTCATTGTGACCTTTGTTGAACCAAGTGTCGTTGATGATTTCATCGACGGTGATCCTCGTATCAGGATTGGGATCGAGAAGCCGGCATATGAATCGCCGGAGATCAGCCGACGTCCATTTCGGGAACTGGAATTCGCCTTTAAACATTCGTTGGTACATCACCACCTGATTGGGGTCTTTGAACGGTAAATATCCGGCGTGGAGGACGTACAAAATGACGCCGCATGACCACACGTCGACTTTAGCGCCATCGTATCCTTTCCTCGCCAGAATCTCCGGCGCCACGTAACCCGGAGTTCCGCATATAGTATGGAGGAGACCGTCGGGTCGTATCTGTTCCTTCACCGCACTGAGTCCGAAATCGGATATTTTCAAATCGTAGTTTTCGTCGAGGAGGAGATTTTCCGGTTTCAAATCGCGGTGGAACACGCCCCTCGAGTGACAATATCCGACGGCCGAAATCAGCTGCTGGAAATACCGACGGCAGAGATTTTCGCTGAAACGTCGTCCTTTAGCTATCCGGGTGAACAACTCCCCACCTTTGGCGAATTCCATAACGAAATAAACCTTGGTTTTCGAAGCCAAAACCTCGATGAGCTTGACGATGTTGCGGTGGCGCAACCGGCGCATGATAGCAATCTCCCTTTTAACATGCTCCGCGAATCCGCCTTTCAGAACTTTCTTCTTGCTCACGGCTTTGATCGCCACGCTCTGCCCCGTCTTCAAATTCCGAGCGTGATAAACCTTGGCGAACGCCCCTCGACCCAGCAACTTCAAGATCTCGTATTTCCCGAACAGGGTGTTCTCCGATGGGAGCTCCGACGACTCATTGGTTGTGCTGTAACTGCGCGTGTCTTCAACCTCGGGCATTGTTCTCAAACCCCAAAGAAACAAACTTTATGTTGAATCTTTAATAAAATGCATGGAAAAAGATTATAAATGAGGTTCGACCTTATCGTTTAAGTAAAACAAAAGAGAGAGAGGCGAGGAAGTTCGAACTGAAATTTGGTTACAGACAGAGTGGATCACTTATGACTCAGCTGGATAGCACTGCAATTTAAAGCATTTTATGAAATGGTAGATTGGAACAGGTTTTTGCCTTTTCGCAAAACTAAACACCTGGATTATTTAATTTGTTTTTGTCTCAAAAATAAATTATTTTTTATTTATCTATTTTTATTTTTATCATATTTCAGTTTTGTTTTAATTATTAGTCGTTAAATTTAATTGTTAACTTCACATAAAAGATGATATGATATAGTATAATAATAATTTTAATTTTTAAAACTTTAACATTATATCAAATTTATTATACTTTAAAATAATTAAAAAATCTCAGTATTTAAAAATCCTACTAATTTAGCCCTTACAATATAGGGTCGAGTAAAATTCGAATAAAAAATAATATTTTTTTAATTTGATTTGATTCTGAAATATTCAAATCGGCTTGACTAACAAAATTAGAAATAGCTGCTAAGCAATTGCGTTTATTTTTTAATGATAAGTGATTAAAACGAAAGAAAATTATTGATGTTTAGATATGTAATTTATACTATACTGTATCATATTTATTTAGTATATGAGATCATTACGAGTTGCTACATGCATTACCGAAGGGCTCTGAGGGAACTCGATGGGTCATCCGATCTCACGTACATCTTCCATTGGATTTTTTTAGTACAATTTAAATAAAAAAAAACTATGCATTAATCATTAAATCAAATGTTGGGATGCAATCACAAGCAAACATTGAAGCTAGAAGTGTTGATGTCCATTGGATGGTACATAAAGGAAAGTCGTTCATTTTTTGTTCTCAAACTTTGTTGGAATGTGGCGAATGGTGATTCCAATTGCCCATTTCATTCATCCGAAAGCTTTTCTCTACCTCCTTCTCCATTCTTCTCTTTTAAATTTAGTAAAAAAAATGATGTATTATTTGAAATTTTCCTCCTAAAATACTATTTTAATGATTATTTCTCTTGTAAGAAAATATATACATAAGATAATAAAAATGAGGGATAAACTACACGTTGAGTATTTTAACTATCATTTTTAATTATATTTTGGTCATCAATTTATTTTCCTTTAAATCATGTTTAACATTACGTTTTGATTTCATTTTATTCGTCTACCGTTAAAAAGTTAACGATGATACTAATGTGTTTTCATAAGGTAATGTCATATCAGTAGTGATTTTTTTTTTAAAATTACGTCAACAGTTCTATTAATTTTTTTTAACGATAAGTAACAAAAATGAAACTAAAACGTAAAATTAAGTACAATTTAAAAAATAATAGTTATTAAATGAATAAAATAAAAAAATAGTTAAGAAAGTAAACGTATACTTTACCCTAAAATGAGTTCTATTTCAAAAGACAAAACGTAAGTATATGGAAAAGGACAATTAAATAGATAGCTATAGAATTGGTTTTATATTAAAAATAACAAAGGTTTTGAATTAAATTAATTGTTGCTATGATTGCGTGTATCTTTTTAGAGGATGTAAAAGGCCAAGCAAAGGTAGCAGAATAAAAATCTGTTTCCTGATTGGCTTTCTCATATAGGCTCCACAACGTTGTCAAAGGACGACTTATTCACCGGGTTAAATAGCTATTATATTTTCATTTTACTATTAAACATGTAGGTTAAGGTCGGCTAATTAATTAAGTAAAAATATTGAAAATTTTTAAAAATCGCTCTAATGGTGATGGTTGTATCAGACAACAATAACATACGAGCTTATCGAGAGCTTATTAAGAATAATCTCGTAATTTCAATTCACTCTAATTTAAGAAAACCTCCTTATTTAGAAGGTTATGATAGTAGTATCACATGCAATTGTTACTAAGAAAGCTCGGTTCATACTAAAAAGGATTATAGAGTTTTAAAAAATAAGATACAAAATTTGACATATTGACGCTTGAAAAGTAACGAGTAACCCACTGAGAATGAAATCTTTAAGACGAACTAATAGTTAGAGATTCAATGGAGAGAGTTGAGCTTGATTGACTGATATAAGATAAAGAGTGTTCACTTGTTACGAAATTTTTCTCCCTCCACATAAAAAAGGAATTATTCATCACTTTCACCGTTGAGCTTAAAAAGAGTTTTTAATTGAAATTTAATTAAGAATCGCACTCCACACAAAGACAAAGGTGAAAAAAAGTATATATATATATATATATATATTTACAATAAGTTAGCCAATTCTAACATACTACGAGGATATTGCTTATAAACTAAGGACAAAGAATAAGAAGATGTGTTTCAGTCATAAGAAACGATTTGTGTTTTAAATTTTGATAAAAAAATAATTAAAAATATTAAGTTTACAAAAAAAATGATTGAACAAAGGAAACATGAAATGAACAAAATGAAAAGCATATTGAGCAAAGGAAACATGAAATGAACAAAATGAAAAGCATACAGATCAAGTTTCTTTTAAAATTTGACTCTCTTAAGCATGGTTACCTTCAAACTGAATTATACAGCACAATATTTGATCTAGCATATGTCACATTCCAAATTTTAGGGTACTAAATTTGATTATTTTATAAATTTAGTGCCTTTCAGGAAATTATCAAAAGTTAAAGATCTTTTAGTGTAAATTACCCATAGGTTGTTTAAAAACCTTTTCCCTCCTCCTTTTCCCTGTTCGTGTAACCCCACCTTCCTCCGTTATCATTATTCTGTTTAATTGCTTTTGATTGCCGTCCTTTTGGTCGTGAAGCACCGTCGGTATCTCATTGTTTTTCGTGTCATTCCTATTCGTCCGAT